AAATCTACAAAGAAGGCTGTTGGAACTTTGATGGGTATTGCATTGAACCCATAGATTGCTTTAGGTAATATTGACATCTTGATAATATTAAGTCTTCCAATCCATGAGCACAGAATATCCTACCATTTATTTAGATCTTCTTTAATTTCAGTATAGTTTTATAGTTTTCAGTGTATAAGTCTTTTACGTCTCTAGTTAATTTTATTCCTAGGTATTTTATTATATATGCTATTGTTTCCTTATTTATCTTTTCAAATTTTTTGTTGCTGAAGTATAATAACCTGACTGATTTTTGTGTATTGACCTAGTATCCTGCCATTTTGCTGAATTTATTTATCAGCTCTAGTAGCTTTCTTGTGGATTCTTTGGAGTGTTCTGTATATGGCATCATGTCATCTGGGAAAAAGAATAGTTTTACTTCTTCCTTTTCCATTTGGATACTTTTTATTTACTTCTCTTGCCTAATTGCTCTGGCTAGAACTTCCAGTACAATATTGAATAGCAGTTGTGAGATTAAACATCCTTGTCTTGTTCTGGTGGAGCAGTGGTTAAGAGCTTGGCTGCTAAATCAAAAGGTCAGCAGTTCAAATTCACCAGCCATTCCTTGTAAACCCTATGGAGCAGTTCTATTCTGTCTTATAGGGTCGCTATGAGTCGGAATCGACTCAGCAACAATGGGTTTGGGTTTTTTTTTTTTTTTTGTCTCGTTCTTGATCTTAAGCTCTCAGTCTTTCTCCATTGAGTATGATATTACAAACCAAAATCATACCCATTGCCGCTGAGTAGATTCTGACTCACAGCGATCCTAGAGGACAGAGTAGAACTGCCCCAAGGGGTTTCCAAGGAGTGGCTGGCGAATTAGAAGTGCTGACCTTTTGGTTAGCAGCCGTAGCTCTTAACGACTGCACCAACAGGGCTCTGAGTATAATATTAACTGTGAGTTTTTCATAAATGACCTTTATCAAATTGAGGAATTTCCCTTCTATTCATAGTTACTGAGTGCTTTTATCACGGAAGCATGTTGGATTTTGTCAAAAGCCCCCTATGCATTAATTGACATGATCATGTAGTTCTTTTCTTTTGTTCTATTGATGTGATGAACTACACTGATTGATTTTCTAATATTGAACCATCTTTACACTTCTGGGATAAATCTTACTGGATCATGGTCTATAATCCTTTCCATATGCTTTTGGATTCAGTTTACTAATATTTTGTTGAGGATTTGTGCATCTACATTCATAAGGGTTATTGGTCTGTAGTTTTATCGTGTTGTCTTTGTCAAGTTTTGGTATCAGGGTAACGTTAGCCTTATAGAATGATTAGGGAGTATTCCTTCCTCTTTTAGTTTTTGGAAAAGCTTAAGAGGGACTGGTATCACTTCTGTAAATGTTTAATAGAATTCCCCAGTGAAGATCGCTGTTCCAGGGCTTTTCTTTGTTGGGAGGTTTTTGATTACTGCTTTGATCTCTTCACTTGTTATGGGTCTGTTGAGATCTTCTATTTCTATATGAGTCAATATACTCAGTTATGTGTTTCTAGGAATTTGTCCATTTTACCTATATTATCTAATTTGTTGGCATACAATTATTCATAGCATTCTCTTGTGACCTTTTTTATTTCTGTAGGGTCAGTTGTAATGTCCCCACTTTTATTTTTGATCTTAGAGACTTGCATCTTCTTTCTTTTTTTTCATGGTCAGTCTATCTGAAGGTTTGTAGATTTTATTGATCTTCTCAAAAATCAACTTCTGGTTTCACTGATTTTTTTCTAATGTTTTTCCATTCTCTATTTCATTGCTATCTACTGTGATCTTTGTTATCTCTTTCCTTCTGGTTGGTTTTTTGTTTGATTTGCTCTTCTTTTTCTAGTACCTCAAGTTTTTTGGCTAGGTTTTTGATTTGTGATCTTTTTTATTTTTTAAGTGTTTAGAGCTATAAATTTCCCTTTGAGCACTGCTTTCTCTGCATTTCATAGTTTTCTTATGTTGTGCTTCCATTTTAATTCAACTCTAAATATTTTTTATTTCTCTTTTGATTTCTTCCTGTTGGACCCTCTCATGCAGCATCAGGTTCTATTGACTGGTCCCCAGATCTAAGGAAAATAAACAATAATAAATGCAGTTTGTTCTTCTTGTGAAGAGGAAATCAACATTTTATTAAGAGGATGAAGGTGGCTGAATTTGTCAATGATATTCCTTATGGTTTATTTCCCTCAAGTTCTCCCTTTCTCTTTTCCACATTCCTGTAGGTTATTATTTCTAGGCTTCTTGATCCCTTGGAAGGCTTTTGGCAGTGAATTGCAAAAGAAATGTAGAAAAACTGATTGACTTTTTTTCTAAAACTAAAGTCCATAGGATAACTAAAGAGTGTGGAAGAGGTAATGAGAAAAGAGGGTTGGTGGAAAAAAGACTTGAATGTTTAGGAATGGCTGAGAATAGCACAGGAGTATGGTGGAGCAAAGACCCACTTCCGACTTCTGGCAGCAACCCAGGGAAGCACCAGATCTGTAACAGAGTGGTTGCATAAGGAGTGAGAGGTCACTTTATAACCCAGATTCCAATGTCTTGTTGTGGTGGTACATGGAACAGTTGCAGCACCTGTGTGAGTACAGGCCCATGGAAACATGGTAATCTTTGAACAATAACTAACGGTGCACCTTTTCTTGTTCCCACCTCATCACCTTGACACTGTATACCCAAAACGCATTGCTGTCGAGTCAATTCCAACTCATAGTGACACTTTAGGAAAGAGCAGAACTGCCACATAGGGTTTCCAAGGAGCAGCTGGTGGGTTCAAACTGCCAACCTTTTGATTAGCAGCCAAACTCTTAACCACTGTGCCATCAGGGCTCCTGACACTGTATATGCTCCTGGAATCCAAACAGCTTTGGAACAGAGGATTTACGGAAATTAACTAATTTGCAATTTTCCATCACACAGAGGGAATGGGGAATTTTAATTAAAATTATGTTTTCCTGTAGAAAATAAAATGTAAAATAAAAAATAAAAATGTGACACCACATCTAGATTTACACTCAACTTCTACATGTTTTTATGCTCCCCCTCCCCCCATTTTATCTTTGTACTTAGGTCTGTAGCAACTGCTTGGTAGCTATTACAGGCTGAATAAATGATTGCTGAATTAATGCAAGATCATGTTAAAGCTCTTCATAATGATGCCAGACTGTGTTTTTAGCAGCTCTATAGCATGTATTATTTAGAATTTCACCATCAATTTCTGAGTTACCATTTTATTGCACTCTCAACAACCTTGAGAATTAGCACATTAATTTTTTTTTTTTTGTACTCTTTCGGAAAACAAGGGTTGGTATTTAGTTCTAATTTTTGTGTCTTTAATTTCCAGTGAGATTGTATAGTTTTTCATAAATTTACTACTCATGTTGCCTTTTTGTCTTGGAACTCATATTTTTGTCTTTTGCCAATTTTTCTATAGAATTATTTATCATTTTTTCTTAACTATCTGTAAGAATTCCACATATTCAGTATACAAATACATTTTGAAAATTATTTGTCATTTGTTGTTATATTTTTAACAATTTTATAATATTTTAATATGTGATATATTCCTTGTTTAAACTTTGAGGAAATAAACTTACAAAGTATAAAGGAAAGATCATTTAAAAGTCCACCATCAAAAGTTAACTGTTTTTAAAATCATTTTGATAAAAATTTTTTATAGATTTCTTTGATAAGTTTTTAGGGTTTTGCCCATCAGAGGCTTTAAATGAATATTTAGTCGAATCAACCTATCTTTAAATTTCTGGCATTTGCTTTACTATTGACAACAATTTCTTATCCCAAGATTTTTATTGAAAGTTTTCTACTGAAAACGGTTTTATTTAATTTTTAACGAAGTGACATTTTTGTTTTGTCTTTTGGTTTTAGGGTATGAAGTCTAGTTGTTGATTTTATTGGTAGGTGCCATCGAGTCGATTTTCAACTCCTAGTGATCCCATGTGACAAAGTAGAACTACCTGATGGGACAGGATTTTCTAGGCTGTAATTTTTATGAGAATAGATTGTGAGGTCTTTCTCCCATGAAGCATTTCTTTCCAAATATTTAGTCAGTGACAAGTCTTGGTGGTGAAATTGTTAAGTGCTTGGCTGCTAATTGAAAGGTCAGCTGTTTGAACCCAACAGCCACTCCAAAGGAGAAAAGACCTGGTGATCTGCTCCAGTAAAGTTTACCGCCTAGGAAACCCAGTGGGGCAGTTTTACTCCTCCAGCTCTACTCATAGGGTCATAACGAGTTCTAATCAACTCAACAGCAATAGGTTAGGTTTTAGTTTTGGTTAGCATATGCTACCACATATACCATCCAGCCGTATCCTCACTCCACGATCCTTTTTTTTTTTTTTTTTCTGGATTGTGTTGTCTGTTATTAATTTCCAGATACTTTTGGATCTATTTGTCAAGTTCTTCCAGTGGTAGGGGGTTTTTCATTGTAAATGCACCATCAATTACTCCACCAATTAATTGTTGAAGCATTGATATTTTTAATACAATTCCATTTTCCTATCCAAAAACATGCTCAGTAACTACAATTATACAAATATCCTATTATGAGTGTTTACCAAGTATTATGGTTTTCTTCATATTTCTTATGATAAATCATAGGTATTTTATATTTACTAATTCAGTACCACAATTGTAAATGAGATTAATTTTCCTACTATATCTTTATGTGTTTTGCAAATTTGCATATATATACAGATGATCTTGCTTTTTATCCCATTTAATTTGCTCTTTGATCAGCAGCAGTTCCTGGAGTTCCTTAAAACTGTGTCACTTTTGTTCAGGTATCTTCCTGCTTTTCTTTCTTGAGACTTTTCTCCTGGGACAAATAAAATGAAACCAACAAACAGTTAAACATATAAAAGAAGAGACATGAAATAAATATATGCATCCTGCATTTTTTAAGCTAGCTTATCCTCTGCCCACGAGTTTTGGTAAAAAACTATGACCCCTACATGAGAGTTCAAGTAAATCTTGTAAGGCAAGATTTGGGGAAGTAGCTCTCATACTTGCTATTCTCATCTTTGGTCACCATGGCATTGGCCAAAGAAATCTGTGGAAAAGGTAAGGGAAGCCCAGAAAAATCTTAGAATCCTTTCCCATTGTGTATTATTTTGAAATCCCTTTTCCTTACCATGCCCTTTATTTATTCTCTTTTCTTAACACTTTCATTCCCAGTGAAACCAGACTGACTGAGTCTCACAGGCAGCACAACAGAACTCCTTCCTTTTGGATATACGGTGATTTGCACCAGAACAGTCTTGTCCTCCATGTGATTTTCCTCCATTTCCTCAGAGTCCACGGCAGTCAGCAGGCCTACAGCTAAGGGCAGTCATAGACAGCTTGTGGGCACTCACTGCGCTGGGGAGCACCAAGGTTGAAGGATGAGAATCTGGTGTTTGGGTCTGTGCATATTTGTGAAAAACCATCAGGGGCGTCTGTCTCACACTAAGGAAGGGAGGGCAGAGGAGACCTAATTGTGGTCACTTCACTACTGAACTTACTGGAACAGCTGGGGAGAGCTGGTCCGTGTGATCTAGAGATTCTCAGGTGGAGTCTAACGTCACTGTGGATGGGGGTGGGGCTCCCACTGAACTCAAGGCACTGCCACAAATGGAAACAGCCAATGCTGAGCTTTCAGAGGGGGCCCCCAATGGTGTTTTGCCTTCCCCATCACAGACCAATAGCACATAGCAGCCCCAGGGAGAGATAGAGGTTTTACTCACCCGTTTTCCACATCCTGGATGATGTCAGGCAGAGGCTGATTCCTGGTTTCAGGAAGGAGAAGGACAACAAGGCCAGCCAGGATAGGGGGGACTCCGTAGATGATCCACGGCAGGCGGGCAGAATACATTGCTAGGGTCATCAAGAGGGGAGCCAGGGCTGCCCTAATACAATTGGCCACTACAAAGATTCCTGAAATTCTTGCCCTTGGGGTATGAATAACAATACAGATAAATCTGGTAAAATCCACACATTAAATTTTGTTATATTATTTTGCTTTCATTATGGGAACCACTACAGCAGAGTGTTTGCACACATGGAGACTGACTGCATTCCCTTGCTTCTGAAATGCGCTGTCTTGTTTGCTGGGTATTATCTTCAAGTTCACAAGTGCATCAAGACAGATTTTCATCATTTAAAACATAATGATGCCCATAGCACTTACCCTTTGAATGGTTCAGAAGATTAGGTGAGATGATGCACTAAAGGGCTTTTTCTTTTTTTTTTTTTTGGCACGGTGCCTGGCAAAAAGTCAACTTTCAATAAATTTTGGCTATAATTTGTTGTTATTATTATGACTATAAAATGGACTGCTTGTGATAACTAACCAGTGTGTTTTCTTTCTTCCATAAGTGACAATTAGCTGGGAAAGTTCTGCTTTGACCCTGACAGAGCATTTTGTACCTGATTACCGTGGGGAAAAGTTCACTGGAGTGGGCAACAGAACAGGTGATAGCAGTAGAAGTAGTGCCCATTCCCAAAGTTGCCAAAACTGTATTTAGAGCCTTCATTTCTAGAGAAAGGAAGACCAGTCAGATCAGGAAATTTGAGCTGAAGCATTCAGCATTCCCAAAATACAGAAGAGTTTTGCAAGCATAAAACATATTGCATAGAAAAATGCACAGAGGCAGAGAATGTGGACTGGCTGGTGATCTGAGACATGTGACTTGTCAACTTATTACATCTTAAATAGTGTAATGGTTAATTGTACTTGTCAACTTGGCTAGCCTATGGTTCCTAGTGGTTTGGCCAAACTCTGGACTAGTTGCTGTTCCATAATGTAATCTAATGCCATGTGATGTCGTCACCTTCCAGATGGTTTGCCACTAGACTATAAGTAGTTAATTTGGAAAAACTCGCTGTCTTGAATCTGCACTCTTCCCGTTATCTGATTTATAGGTCTTGGGACGGAAGTCTGCTTAGGTCTGCAGCCTGCCACTTAACCTACAGATTTTGAACTTGCCAGCCTCCTCTAATCTCATGAGCCAGCAAGAGGCTCCAGACTGTTACAAGACCTAAGGATTTTGGAATTGCTGTCTCCACAATCCCTTAAGCCAATGCCTAGAAGCAAATCTCTCTTTATAAAAACATCCATCTCACCAGTTCTGTTTTCCTGGAGAACCTTGACAAAGACAAATAGTGAATAAAAAGACCTGAAAAATTGTCCCAACTCTCCCTGCATATCGAAGATTTTCCAGAGGACGAGAGGGGAGATTGAGTCTGGCAGGAGCTTCCCTCCGTTGTTCTGCCTATGCCTTCTATACTCCTACTGTAGAACATAGGACTGTCATGTGGGCAAATTCTGAGGAGTCTAAGACGCATCCATGTCCTTGAGGAGTTGAAAACTTAGGTGAAGATATAATATTGACCAGGGACAAGTATGGCACATGAGAGTAATAAAGGAGAAGACTTCAATTGTAACGGAAAGAATGAAGATAAGCGTGACTTAAAATAATGATCCAGCAATCAACAACAAGAAACTCTTTGGGAGGGAGAAAAGATGTTGTGAACCACGGAAGGGAAGTTTAAGACAGTCAGTTTTCTACTCAGTTAAAAAAATATGATAGCTTTGCAACATTGGAGTGTGGTCTATTCTAAGGCAGCCAACTTGCATCACTGCTGACATTCAATAGAATTGGAGCCACCATCTGGTCCTGTAAAATACATTACTCAGCTGGGAAATACGTGAAGTGTGGTAAGCACATGGGTCCCCTAATCACTACATATGATCATTTCATTTAGTAAAATTAAAATTCTAAGAGAGGACCTTAATATGCTTAACCTCTTATCCCCGCTGTATACTTCTTCAACGGAGACAAAGTATTTTTATTTTCTTGAAGCCAAAAAGCCTCCACTAACCCAGGTTTGCAGTCATGGTGACCTAATACCAGACACACAAGTGAACACATAGAGATCAGGGAGTAATTGTCACCGGAGCTGTTGTAATGAGAGCCCAGAAAAGGAAGTGACAATACTGTGTCCTCATACAGTTACAAGGCCTATTCCCTCAATGATTGTTATTAAACGTGTGACTGGGCAAAGGGCAAGTGATCAATTGTGGTTCTGGAGAAAATGTCATTATTTTCCAGACATTTCTCAGTGATAATGAAGACAACTAAATGTCTGGGCTGACCCTTGCTGACCTTTGCCTCCATTCCTAACAAGTTCATGGCAGAATCTGTCCTAAACCTGTAGATTGGTTTCAGGAGACCCTTAGGCTCCTTTCCTCCTACTTAGGCAGGTAAGACAGTACAATCCCAGAGCAATGGGGAGAAGCCACTTCTTTTTCTAACCTTGATATTTTCTCACCTTGAGGTACAAACATGAGGAGCAGAATAGAAATACCCTACAGGAACATGAAAATGGTCTGGCTTCCTGCACGGCCGATATGATTGATAGTCAAAAGTGCCAGACCTTTGCCTAGAAGGAAGACTATGCCAAAAAGAACTTGGAAGAGGAAAACATTGCTCCCCAGGTGCTGGAGGTTGAGCAACAGGCCAAAATGAGGTATACTGACTGCAAATCTGTGATGAACAATAGAAGAAAGACACATCATAAGATTTAGAGCCTATGTTCTGCAATTGACCATGACTTTGGCCCAGTCAACCAGTGGCTGGCAGTAAAGCATTAAGGCACAGTTGTTTTGTAGAATATTTTCTTTCTTGGTGATGATTTTTAAATTGTTATCAAAAATTGTATGATAATGAAGAACGGAATTGTTAAGTTTATTTTTTGTAATGTGGAGAGTACGTTGTGGAGGCTACATGATGGGACGTCCTAGGAGTTAGAATGTTTCTATGTCTTGATCTAGCTTTTGGTTCCATATTTACATACGGAAATATTCATTGAACTGTATATTTTTTAATACACTTTACTGTTTTTAAGTTTAACCTCAATTAAAATGGAAAGAAGCAATGAAGAAACTTAAAAGCCAAGATCTGGACTGTGGTTGACATTCTCACCATCAGTCTCCTGGGATGAGTGAACCTTGTAGGATGATGTGACATACTTAACTCCTCATTGTATAATTATTTCCTCTGAGTCTTTTCATAGCCCTTTGACTAACTCCAAACATAGTAATTATTTTGTATATTCTCATCATTTGTCTCCAAGTCTGTCCCCCACAACATTCTTGTATCCTTTAAAATCAGAAATAGGCTTGCTATTTTAACATTCCTCATGCACTGTGCAAAGCCTACCTCACAAAAAATGTGAGGCAGATCGTTTATGCAGGGTGGGTGTGTGGAATAAATCACACACAGAAGGTTTGTTCTGTGCTGCCTCCAGCTCCTCCTGCATGGTGCATCTCAAAACCTGCAACAACAGCAGCAACGTATCTTTATCAGTGGCCACCAAAGTGTTAGTCTTTGGGAGGATCACTGAGCACCCAAAAGAGGACAAAAGAGACAAATTTCCTTTCTGTGTAGTGGAAAATTAAGAGTTCAGCTGCTAACCGAAAGGTCAGCAGTTCGAATCCACCAGGTGCTGCTTGGAAACCCTGTGGAGTACTTCTACTCTGTCCTATAGGGTCACTATGAATGGGAATTGACTCGCAGTAATGGGTTTATTTTCATAATGGAAAATATAAATATGAAACATGCATTTACAGGTGGGAAAGTGGTATGATCAGCAAATTAGGGAGTTAAAGGAGCCTCAGGGAAATTATGCAGTGACTAGGACATTTTAAATAGGGACCAGAGATGGCTGCAGGACATCAAAAAGGGTGCACAGGTTAGAGATTCAGATCAGGAAGTAAAACCACATGATGAGTTAGTTGGATTATACCAGCTGGGCATGAAAGATTTGGAACTCAGCTTGGTTCTCAGCTGGTTGTCCTTGGTAGCAAAACATTTTATCTCAGAAGGGAGGAAAATTTCATGAGAGCCTTTACTTTGGTTCTTGGCTCAGCTTCTTCTAGACAAATCCTGGAATATGTTTCTCCATGAATGAGATGCCTAGAAATAATGTGAGGGCAAAAGCAGTGAGATCTTGGTGTAGTATGATTTATACCCAGTCCTAATTACAACTTGGTGGTATACTATGGCTATGCCACTTGGTAGTTGTTTTCATGAAGAAGACAACTGAACATCTCTGAGCCTTAACTTCTTGTCATATAGAAGAAGGAGAGGAGAGGAAGAAGGAAGAAGAGGATGAGTATAAAGAGGAGGGAGAAGAAGAAGAGGAGTATTAGAAGAAAGAGAGGGTGAGGTACATGAAGAGGAGAAAAAAAACAATGCTGGCTCTCAGAAGGCTTTGTAGGCTATACAGGAGATAAAAAATGTGCATGTGGAATCTATGTAGCACAGCTCTGGCACTTATTAACTATTCAAATAACACTAGCTCCGTTCTCTTCCCTCCTACATAAATGAAACAATATGTAAAAATCCATTTGGAAATTTCAACGATGAAGAGAATTGAGAGGAATGAAAAGCCACTCTAACTGACAAATCCTACAAAATCAAGAGTGCCCTTTCAGTTTGCAGCTCCAGCCAGAGCAGCAGGATATTTAATTTTGCTTTTGGAAGAGAGGAGTCATGGCAGCATCTCCTTCCTGATTCCGACACCAGGAACCTATGGCCATGGACCATTGTCATGGGTGGTGTAGTAAGAAGGGGTTCCAGCACGGGCCAGATGAGGGATGCAGTGCCTGTGAGACTGGCATTCAATTCCATCCAATGCCAAAGTAAAAGTTAGCTGGGATTGTTTTGTATTGGTCATTCATTCCTGGCGAGCACACAGAGATGTGAGTTGAGTTTCCAAAAGTATTTAGAAAGGGGCCATCAGGTCATTTATAGGAACGTATGGAGCTTCACCTATCTGGTGGAGTCCTTACTCAGCACAGGTGCTAACACATAGAGTTGTGTCTACCTCTGGAAACTAGGGTACAGGAGGCCTATATTCTACTGGGAGCATACTGGAGCTTCACTTGTTTTATGAATCTTTCTCCTTAATTTTCACATGCTATTCGTTTAAAAAAAGTATCACAACGCCATAACGTGGTGAAAATCATGAAAGAGCCTCCTGTCTCAAGCCTTGCCCGCCCAGTGTTGTACTGCAGTCAGCTGGTATAGGTTCACAAGACCCATTTGTTAAATATTTTAATTATTTGAGAGCCCATTGCCATCATGATTGTATCTTGACATCAACTATGATGGTAGTATTCACAGAAGAGAATTTGACAATTAACATAAATCAGGGCTTTCAATTTTTTTCCTGGGAAGCTGGTTGTTAAGCATTTACCAGCACACCACTGGCCTTGTTCCTCTTCAGTCATTCAGACTTCTCTTCACTGCAAATTTCATCATATCCCTGCCCTCCTTAAACCTGGCTATTTCCAACTTATTCTCTAAGACCCATTTTAGATATTACTACCTCCAAGACTACCACCTGTCTCGCAGTTTGTTGTACTTTGGTGACTTATGTGTTGCTACGACACTGGAAGCTATGCCACTAGTGTTTCAAATATCAGCAAGGTTAAACCATGGTGGACAGGTTTCAGTGGAACTTGCAGACTAAGACATTCTAGGGAGAAAGGTCTGGTGATCTATCTGAAAATTAGCCAATGAAAACCCTATGGATGACAATATTGTCTGATACAGTGCTGGAAGATGAATGAGCCCCCTAGATCAGAAAGCACAACAATCAGCCACAACAATGGACTCCAATATGCTAATGATCATGAAGATTCTGCAGAACATTTTGTTTTGTTTCACATGGAGTCACCATAAATCAGTGCCAACTGGACAGCAACTAACAGCAAAGACACCAGAAGTATTTGATGCCTCCATCACCGCAATCTAGGTTAGAGCTCCCTCCTCAGTGTTCCCATTTGACTCTTGCTTTACTTCTGAGAGACTTTATCAAGCCCATTTACCTGTCTGAATATGACCTTCCTGAAGACAGAGGCTGTGGATATTTTTCCCCCACTCTGTCACAGAATCTGTCACTAATAGTCATGTAACAAATTTGAAATGAAGGAAGAAAGGAAGGGAAAAAAGGAACGAAAAATGAGGCAAGAAAAGGAGGAATGGTAGAAGGAACAGATGGAAGGTGGAATGCATTTAGAAGCTGAAACATGAAATTTCAGAACCCGTAAAGGAAGAAAAGCATATTAATTCAGAGAGCTTTCAGAAGATGTTTGAGAATGTGATCAGAGATAGAGGAAGTTAAGATTTTTTTTAATTAAAATTTATTTATGTTATTTACAGATTAAAATTTATTATTGCAGAGGAGTTGGGAAAACTTTGAAGTTTGGTGAATGTAGCAGAAAGCTGAAAAGATTCAGTAGAGAATTTTGTACTGGTCTCTCATAATTACTAAGTCACAACCACGTAAGTGTGTTATAACTGACTTTCTAAAGATTCAGTCTCCATTTAATACTTTTCTCATGTGGTTTTGTGGGGAAATGAGCCTTGGAATTAGGGTGCTTCTAAGAAAGCATATAACTCAGACTGGATCTCTGTGGATCATGAGTTCTAGGGTTTCAGAAATACCAGAATAGAGATAAAGAAGGAAACAGACTGGACAAGTCACAGTGGGATAGGAAGAGAGAATAGAGCAAAGCAGAGCAGAGGTGTCGAAAGAACATGAGGGTGTTTGGAATATATGGAGATTTGAGCAGACAGATGAGACCATAGTTACATCAATGAGTCAGAAACAACTAACTATAATGAGCAAAGCAGGAAAGAGTATTGATCAGAAGATGCAGAAGGGTCTGCCTTAAGGCTGGAAAGCAGGATCTGCCTAGGGGCTGACCGAAACAAGGTGGACCTCATAAAATCAACCAAAAAGAAGTTACCTAAGAAAACTGCAGGTAGGGGGAGCGTTTTATCTCTAATCTTCATGTTTCCATGTCCAGGGACTTTGAATATGAACACTCCCTGGCCCTCTCTACATACCCTAGGTGGCCCATGAAGGACTGTGTTGATTATTAAGTCTGGGAGAACACAATGGGCCTACTCATACCACTCACTCTACATTTTCATAATAGTTCTAGTACATCTTTGGAGAGAGACTGCATTCTCTGGGCCATGCCATATATTTAGCAGGGTAGGCTCTTCTCCTGCCAGGAAAACCTATGACTATTAAGCAAGTACAGTCCTGGGATGAAGTGATAGCAAAGCTATTGTTGCCACTGATTTAAAGCCAGTCTTCACAGTAGTAAAAATATAAATTTTGATCTCCGTGTGTTATGGATTGAATTATGTCCTCCCAAAATATGTGTTGTAAATCCTAACCTCTATGCCTGAGGTAATAATTCCATTTGGGAATGGATTATCTTTGTTATGTTAATGAGGCAGGATTAGTGTAGGTTGTATCTTGAGTCAATCTCTCTGAGATATAAAAGAGATTAAACAAGCCAGCAGAGCAGAGATGGGGGGAAGAGAGATGCTAAGCTACATGAAGATCATCCAAGAGCAGAAGCTAAAAGAGACAAGGACCATCCTCCAGAGCTGACACAGAGAGAGCCTTCCCCTACAGCCAGCACCCTGACTTCAGACTTCTAGCCTCCTAAACCCTGAGA